AGATCTTTCCCTAAGTCTTCTTCAATAGACTTAGTTTAGGAGACAATTATTCTTATTAACTTCTAACCTTATCTTTATACTTCTGTATTCAATCATAGAACTTACAACCAAAGTTCTAGATTGTCTCATGTATTCCTTATGTTGTCCTCATGTAGTCCTCATGTTTATAACTTTATTACTTTCCCATCTATATAGGTAAAGTGTATAAAGGAGACTACTTTCCTATAGTCTCTCCTTAGAGCTCTCAGTTCCCTTTCCTTCACTAGTACTAGTCCTCCTCAAGTATAGAGCTTTAGAGTATTAGCTCTGACTCTTTACTAGCTTTAATAGTCCTTTGTCTTTGTACAAAGTGTTCCTAGCTAACTATGTAGTTTCTCCCTAAGTAAGTATAATATTTTCCTTTTATCTCTTCAGGTTTTCTCCTAGTCTTTTCCTTTATACTTCTTACTCTAGACACTATACTCTTTCCAGATCCCCTCTCTATACAAGCATTCTAAATGACTTGTCTTTGGTTGAGGTTATCAAGTAATGCTGTGCTAGAGTATGTGTTTAACCTTGGAGAGATAAAGACCTTGTTCTTAGGTTTTGTTACCTTTTCCTAACTGACTTAGTACCTACTCCTTCCTGTCCCCTCTCTCTACTAATGGATTAATCACCCATTAGTAATGATTAGAGGTTAATAATGCTGAGCTAGAGTTCTTACTAAGTAGGACAACAAAAGTAGTCTAGTTGATCTGGCCAATCTCTAGACTTGTGACTAATAGGGTTTTGTATATAAACTACTTGGTCCTAAGTCTTGAGTTAAGCTTTTCCAAACTTAGTTACTGTATTTTACAATTCCTAACAGTTAGTAACAGTGTAGAGGACTTAGAGGCTTAGTAGGGGGATCTAAGTTACAACTATTCTATATAATAGAAAGGTTAGAATGTAAGTATTAGAACAGATACAGAACTTACAAATCAGTCAGACAGAGAGAGTAGGACAAGTGTAGAGTATATATAGTAAGTCTAAGAGTATAGGACTACCTAGAGTAGACAAGATTAAGACTACTAGACTAGTCTAATCTTATACATATATATATACTAAACTATACAAGAGTACTTAGAGAAGGATAAGTTATAAAGAATGAAGAATAAAAAGGTCAAAGATATACAAACAAAGAATGAAGGAATGAAAGAGTAAGGGGTAAGAGACCTTAGAATAAACAAAGAATAAAAGGGTAGACAAAGGAAAGGAACAATAAGGTAGAAAGGAATAGTAGTATAAGTTACTATATAAATTAGTCTACATATAGTCTATATACTGTACACCTGAGGGATAGAAGTCCTAAGTTCCAGGACAGAAGGTAACAGAACTGACAGAACTGAGAGCTTAAAAGTAGTAGACTGTAATAGGTTACTAGATTGTTAATTTAAATTTTATTACATTCTTAATGTAGGAATAAGTAAAATCTGAAAAAGATACTTGTTTTTCATTCCTCACAAATGTATGCTTTAGTACTGAGTGTGTTTAAGGTATATTTGTTAGGTACAATAAATACAAAGTAATGTATCTCTATCTAAGATACTACAACTCTGAACCTTAAGAGGATAGATTGAAGTACTCTGTCTAGTACTCTCTAAGTATAGTGTTTGTAAAGTCTACCTTTATTAAGGGTCTACCAGTGTGTACTATAATGTTCTGAGGATACTATAGAACATTCCAGGTAATAGGAGGAACCTAGACAAGCAATTTATTCTAAGATTCACAGATTAATCCTCTTTTTGAATGAGGTATTCCTTCAAACTTTTCAGCTAACTGTTTAATAAGTAGATCTCTACTGTACTTTCCCTTTACTATAGTTCAATCAAAGAAGACACACCTGTTAGTAACTGAATTATTAACCATTTGTTCTGTACATTGTATAGGATATAACCTGTTACTTGTTATGTCTGAAATCTATACTGTACTATCTATTCTACAGATTATAATATGTGTATTGTTCAGGAATACAGTCTTTTTTATAGCAAAACTGTTGTACACTTAGAATGAGTCTGAAAGTATATTACTACTACCTGTGTCCTATACAATTACCTCTCTATAAAAGCAACCTGTAACAAAACATAAACTATTATTAGAGAAAGTAATAGTTTTAACACTACTCTTGTGTTCTATTAATAGACCAACAATGAGACTACTATTCTCTCTATCACAGATTACAATTGGTCTGTTAAGATAGTTAGTAACAACACACTTTCTGTTAGGTGTAAACTGTAAAGAGGAGACTGATTCATATCTTTCTTTATGATTCTCAAATGTATATATAATAGTATTATACTAAGTATCCTAAAACTTGATTTGCCTATTATAGGAGCTAGACACAATTTGCATACTATCAGAAGAGAAGGTAATAGCTAATATCCAGTTGTTGTACTCTTCTGTACAGGAGCTAATACATTCTCCTGTATTAATATTTTAAACAATAATTGATCTGTAAATATTACTAAATACAAGCCAAGTACTATTAGAGTAAAGGACCCTAAGTATAATAGAATTTGAGCATTCAAACTCATGTAGAATAGCTTTACTACTTCTTGTGTCCTATACTTTGAATAAATTGTTGTTAATCAAATATACTGTAATATACTTACTATCACCTAAAAAAGATAAATTGTAAGCTTTTGTATCTAAAATCATAGAGACTATTTTGAAAACAGTAGCATCCCAAGTTCTACCCTCTAAACTGAGTATAACTACATCTCTATCCAGGGATTCTAAGACAATAAGTCTGCTACTATGTAAAATACTTATACTATATAGTTTATATATAATTTTGTTCTATTCTCTTTAGTTGATTGAGTCTTGTACTCTTTAGCTCTTAAAGAAATCACCAAGTAAAGTTTCAGGACCTAGTTGTTTAAACTATAGTATAAACAAGAGTTGACTTGAATAAAGCTTTGAGAGCTCAAAGAATCTACTAAGAAGTATTAAAGAAGGGAGGGCAGACAAATATATATAAGGTGTACTTGTTGAAATTGGTTCTTTAAATACCTTTACAAATGTACTAGCTTTATTTACAAAATTGAAGACTCTGAATACAACTTCCTTGTTGTAAAGATCAACCTTCTAATATATGAGTATTTATATTTAAGCTTTTAAGAAGTAACATCAACTTACTCTAAGACATTTCTTTAGCTAGTCTAAGGCCTGTAAGAGAGCTGTACTAGTATAATCAACTATACTTAGCAAACTTATTACCTCTAACTAATACAGTAGATAATTATGTATAAAATCTAGCAACTCATCTAGTAGTACAGACAAATAAGATGTATACTACAGCTGTTTATCCTAGTATTAACAAGTGTAGGATAAATACTATAGTATTTTCTCCTTAATCCAGTCTTAGAGTCCTAGAACCTTGTCATTTAGAAGATACAAAGTTTTGAGGTGACAAATATTAAAGTAAAGTATGTCTTTTATCACTTGGAAACACAATAAAGTAATATAGGCTTGTACTAAAGGAGCCTTAATAAACTATAAGTCATAAGAACAATTGGGAGACAACAAGTAGTCCTTCACAGAAGTATGGAAGAATAGAACAGGTTTATGTGACAAATAAGTAAGTACACTCTAGAGTCTTGACAAGACACATCTTAATGAATTAAAGGGTGGAAGATACAAAATGGTATTAATATTAGGGATTGAAAGTATGACTTTACTATATAGAATGAGTCCAAGTATATTCAAAACATTAGTTTTGCTTTCATTATTGTCTCACAAGATTCCTGAGCTATAGAATACTGTATTGTATAACTAATTGAGCCCTTAACTATAGAGTGATTGCAAGTCCAAAATCAAACACTATAGTCTGTAGAACAGATTGTGGCTCTTCTCAACAAGCTTGACAGTAGTTGAAGCCTAAACAAAAAGACTGTCTGCAAATCTGCTGAGAGTCAAAATGTTATCATTCTATGACCAATCTGGAGGTATGTCTGATTGTTGTTCCTCTTGAATAATGTAGTGGATCTTGCTCTGAATGTACAAAAGAACATTACTGTGACTATCTACAGAATCAACATACAATTCAATCACTCAAACACTATCCTTAAGGGGCAGAAACACTGAGAGAATGTCACTCACAGGTTGACTTGTAAATAAAAATCAGAATGATTTAGGGAGCTTGGGAAGCTCTTGGTGAAAGAGTTGGAACAGTTTGTGTCAACTCTCTAGAGTACCACACTTGTCAAGTCTGTCTAGAATGACAACTACCAGTCCATTTTTTCCAGCTTCTCTTAGTGGCTTCACAATAAGCTTTTCAAATTGTATTTTGCTTGAGGCAGACACAATGTCTTTGTCAATCCTTATTTGATTCACAACGTGTGAGCAAATGGACAGATCAAACAACACAAGCTTGAAAGCTAACGTTCGAATAACAGAGTGGGCTTTGCTCTTTCCTCATTCAAAAACCAGTAACACTCCACACTGACAGACTTTGAGGAAATAATCCGAGATTGTGAGAGCAATAGTGCTCTTTCCAGCACCTGCAATACTGTGTAACAAGAGAATATTTGGCTCTGTTTTTGAATTTGCCCAGTTAATGATCTCCTGTCTAATTGCAACACAGGTGCCCTTAAGGCATGTAGCTCTGGATGCACTGATAAGCTTGTCAGGCTTGAGTCTCTGTTAGAGATCTGAAGGAGAATGTAAGCTTTGGATATCCTGGAATTATAAAAGAATGTGGACGTGCATAATGTATTAACACTTCCTGCTGTCCATGCTTCAACAACAGTGTTGTGGTGCAGAAGGCCCGAATCAATGTCATGCTAGCACCTTGCCAGTACTTGCATGAATTCTTCGATCTTCTTGCTTGCTCCCATGTCAAGCATCCAACCTAAGCAGACAATCAACACATTGATCGTCTATATGCAAGAAATCTGGCTAACCTCCAAATGAATGACCCACGTAATTTTGGATGAACTTGCAGCATGCCTTGATCTGCTTGAATAACTCGACAATTGACAATTCTAGAATTCTAGTTTTGCCTTTCAGGTCTTGCGTGCTACGGGCAAACGTGAATGCCTTTTCCATCGAGCGAACTAGTTCCACGACCTTCTGATCGCATTCGAATTGTTTCGAGACGGCCTAGCAAGAACGGGTTTGATAAGAGCGGTTTGAATTGTGCAACATTAACAGCATACCTTGTACACAGATGTGGCCACTTGCCATGCTGCACTAAAATATGGATGGATCTGACCACCCAATCAGATTCACGGATAAGATAGAAGGACAACGTGCTTACCTTTGAAACATCATTAATGAATTTGACGAAGACGTCCAGCGTCTCACAAAGCTTCTCCAGGGAGTCATATAGATCACCCGCCTTGCTCAATTGCATCACTCTGTCTGCGATTGCAACAGCCATAGAATCCGCAGCATCCGCACGAACTCCCTGAGTGGCTTTCCTCGTGCCTTCGAGATCTTGATTAACAGCCTCCGTCTCGTTGATTGACTTGAGCCGTAAGAGAACTTTCCCGGACGGTGTCTGGTTCCGTTTCTCGTGGACATTTATTTGAGCTGGCGCCATATACATAAGAAACCCGCTAGAAATAGTAAATGCAATCCCTCTCACCTTCTCCATTCTCGCATAGCGCAATCAGTTCACGAAGCTCAATCTCAGCAATGACTATATCTTTATCCCGAGGGCCCTTTAATCAATGCTTGAGATGGATCTTGAAGACTTCTGATAGATCTGAAGAGGGGCTGGCATGGAGCTAAACAGAGTTTCAATTCTGCAATGAAGGTGCAGACTCACAATGCAAGAGACTGGTCTCATGTGGGTGATAGGTTGTTCTTGACATGTTGTGTGCGTCTAATAGTACCGCCAAACCTCACAACAACATACAGGCTCGGATTTCCATGGAAAAAAGATTTATAGAGTACGTCTTGGGCACGAATAACTGTGCACAAAAGAAAAGATTTTAGAATTGAGCGGGTAACTGTCAAACCCAGGGGATCTTACCATGCAGTGAATAGTGCGTAGACATAGTGGCGATTTCGACAGCTCAGCACCTCCTGAAAGCAAACTATATAACATCTTTCTTTGTGGTCGTTTGAGCCTGCGTCTTATGAGGGCTTAGCACCTTTGAGCCATCTTAGGATTGCCGACAAGTAAGGTAGTACAAAGGAATCACGACGTCCACCGTACACCAGTCATTGAGGGGCCTCTTGGCTGCGCTGCAGATGCTAACGTATTCATGGTTCTGCACCACCAGTGGCAGGTACAACAGGCACAAATCTCAACCTAGTTTATCAAGAAATGGTTTCCGAGTTTGTGAAGGTTACAACTTACGAGACGTAATTGGCAAACAATGCATTATGTAATAATCGAGAACGCCGTCACGTGCTAGACGCGATCACTCTTCGCACGAACGACTTCAGTTCAGACAACTGATCTTATCTTATTCATTTCGATAAAATTGCCCTCCAAGAAAGAAGCCCTGAGTTGAAGATTCCAAGTGAATGGACAGCAGAAATTGTGCGATTCTCTGGTTGTCGAGAATCGCAGTCAAAGCAGCCTGGCTGCAATCATTAGCATTAATAAAAAGGAAACCAATGATCAGATGGATGTCTAACTACAATGATTTATTCAGCTCCGACACACCAAGCACTACATTCTTGATTACTTGAGGAGTTTCAAAGTGAGCTCGACCTGCTCATCAAGTGCATCCTCCTAGAACGCAATATGTTTCGGTTTCCAACCCAACTCCTCTCTGCGGAAACCCCGAGTATTCATGTTTGATGCCAGCAGACTGAAGGGGTATCAGGTAAATCAAGGCATTTAATGTTCAATTTGTACAATCGTCCTCACTGAGCAAGCGGACCGAGATCTTCGCTTGCAGACGAAATCACAATTGGTTTGGATGATTTGATGAGACCCTTCTTATGTAATTGGCAAGCAAACCGCTCTACGACATCCTTCCATGGGATGGGTGTAGTGCTTGCTATATAATATCGTTTGTAAGGACTAGTTGTTGGGGGAGTGGATAGAGCATCCAGAGCGAGCTTGAAAACTTTTTCAAATAAAGAAACAAGATCCTCAAGATGTATCTAGGACACGAGAGGTAAGAACATTTTAATTAATATACCTGCATGACTTACAAATTCATCACGGTTGCTTCCTTCGCCAACATAATAAGCACGTTTTTCGTTCAGAAAGTTAGATACGACCAGTCGAGATATAAGCGAGTCGCGCTCGACAGGGCCTGTACACGTCCCATACACACCTGATGGGGATATGATGAAGGAGGTGACAATCCCGGCTTCGGAAGCCTTCATCAATCTAGAATGCAAAAAAAAGATCACTCAAAGGGAAATAACCTACTGACTTAAGAAATAAGGAGAAGCACGAACGGTACAGTAACTTGACCATGTGGCATGGGATGTCTTCCTCAGAGTCCTAGGTCGGCGTCAAAACTTTTGATAACCGACAGCACGGAAATGCGACTTCACGCACAGTCCAGAGCTTTCCATTAGTATTAAACTTTCCGTCTCCAGATTTATCCGTGAAAGTAAGAGTCCCACTCGTGTGAACAAATGAGGCAGTAGGTTTACCCTCTGCCTTCTGGTGTTTTTGGCCCTCCAGAAGCGCATTCAATAGATCAGCGTTTTCGCTATCAGCAGTATCGATGATGATGTCTGCGTCGGTGCTGAGTTTCGTAACTAGGTCAAGGTCATCGAGAGATCCAAGAATGGGTTCGACACCAATTGCACGAAACTTGTCAGGAATAGAAGACGGTCGAGTGATCGCATTGGATTGTTTTGCGAACGCTGCAAAAGAGTCTGGGACGCTGGTCGTGGACGTCCGCACGACTGCACTGAACTTGACATTGGGATATGATTTAACAAGAGATGCGAGGACAGAGCCTGAAAATTTGCGATCAATTCGATTCGTGGCCACGTCAAATGTACACGGTACAACCTCCTAGGTACCTAGTTGCTCCAAGCACGAGAACTTTAGTAGCCATTACAGGTGATGGTTGAAGGATAAGGATTAGACTCTCGTTGAAAACCAGCTGCCATTATCTAGATGTGTAATTCACGTCTCTCAGGAATGCAAATTACTTATAATCAAATTTACTCACTTCTGTAGTGAGACAGCAAGGCTCCTTGAGTCCTTGTATTAGGTGTGGTCAAACCTTGCGATTCTCTGTGCAATTCACCTTGCAATTCTAGAGGGTGAATCGCAAGGTGAATCGTGCGTGCAGGTTTGACCAGCACACTTGTACATGTGCGATTCACCTCAATATACCGACCCTTGATCTTAAAATTACATAATATAAAATTAAAGAAATAGTTTTTTTTTGTGCATATACATTTGGCCATGTCAAGAAGGACTTGATATGTGTGCAGTGATGTGTAAGAAGACAACAGAGCTTGGTAGCAGAGAACACAAGGATTTTTTACAGAACAGAGGACAGTATGTAT